TTTATAAAAGCTTTTAGGATAACTCTTTAATATGCTTTTATGTCTTAAAGACCAGTATGAGTATACTAAGAAATAATCTACCAGTTTAGATTTCTTATATGCTTAGAAATAACTGACAGAGACACAGAATTTCCAAGCTGGTACTGAGCTTAGTGAACATCTATTTCAAAAGCGTTTTTGAAAGAATTTAACATACAATAACTTGGGTTTAGTTTCTTTAAGTGGATATTCCTGAGGTCATAAAAATTGGCATAATAGTGTTTGTGTGTGTGGTATTCATAGACATATATTAAGAGTAAAACTATATATGATAAATTTGGAGTGATATTTTTATTTTATAGATTATTTTGTAAAATACTCTTACTTAATGTTGATAAAAATAGAAGTGATTATTACATTTTTTTTTTGCCCCAGCTAAGAGTTCTTATTAAATATTGAGTTTTTTTTAAGGACAAACCAGTCTTTCAATGTTGTTTTCTCAGTTTCAGTAATGATGTATCTGTCTTGTGATTAACACATTGTGATAACTTAGACTTGTCACAGTTGTAAATAATTTGATTAGGTATTGCATAAAATAGAATTCTTTGTCCCAGGTGAGTTGTCACAGCAACCAGCATGGGGAAGAAGATGGTAGGAACAAGTAGGTCAAACACTTCTTTAGCAGTTAGAGTTGAGAGGTCAGTCTCTTGGGGCAGTGAAAAGTAGGGCTTATTAACTGGTCTGCTTCTTGATTACTAAGTCAGTGTGTCAGAACCATTATGAAACAAAGGGAAGAATATAAAACCATCAGGAATTTTATGCTTATATTGTATTTTTATGAGGTTATACGTATTATTGTATACTACTTTTAAAAAATCCTGTTACATGTCAATTACTGTGCTAGTCCAGGAGGTATAAAGATGTAAAGATGCAATTGTCTTCTTCAAGGAGATCTCATCACCTAATAGGAAAGAAAAACGTGGAAAATAATTACAGGGCTTTATAAGAAGTGCTAAAGTGGAGTTAGCACAAGGTATAGAGAATGCATAAAGCAAGGGATTATCAGATATTTCTGAAATATCAGAGAAAACCTTACATAGGAGCACATGAACTGGCTCTTGACAGATAAATTAAGTTTGCCTGGAGGACAAGAAGGTACTATTATTCTAGGCTGAGAGAATAATACTTGCAAAGGCAGAGTGAGACAACATGACACATCGGGGAATAATTGGGAAGGGAAAGAGTAAGGAAGGCTAAGAAACAAGCCTGAAAAAGAAGACAAGGACCAGCTCAAGAATGGCTTTCTATGCTGCTTCTTTGAATGGCTCACCAATCAATTGTGAGATAATGTGAATTGATTTTTTGTTTAGAGGGATTGGAAGGGGTGAAGAAAAAGGCCTACAGCTCAGTGAGCATTCTGTTGAGCAATCCAGGTGAGAGATGATGTAGCGGCAGAATGGAGCAAAAAAGAATGACTCATAGGAGACAGAATCAATAGGATTAGTAATCTGTTGGACATGGCAGTAAGGATGTGGAAGATGAATCCCAAGTTTTTCCTTGGATGTCTACATGGGCGGTAGTGTTAGTCACTCAAATAGGGATTATAAAAAAAATTAAAATTGGAGCTAGACAGGCTATATAATCAGATGATTTGGATATGTTGATTTTGAGGTGACTGTTGAATATCTGAAGTACTAGAGAGCTTTGTAAGTTGTAAACTTACAGGTAGAAGTGGATGACATGGGCTTTGGTAATACATGACGAATGACAGAGAAAGAGGACTAAGAAAGGATTACTTTTTTCTGTCTTATGGAAAATGTCACCTTTTAGGGTTCATTAAAGGAAGAAGAACACATAAAAGTAAGGAGCTGTAAGACAGCCAGGGAAGAGTGGTACCAAAAATTAAGGAGAGGACAGGAAAGAGAGTTAAGAATATATGTAATATTTGTTTGTAGAGTAGTAATTTTATGTAGAAATCTTACATTTTTAATTGTCATTATCTCTAATCTTAGTTGTAAAATCTCAAGTTTACAGATACTAAACTTATTTCATATTTGGAATTTGTTCTTAGAAACCATACATGTATCTGCATGTATGTAAGCATACCTTATATACAGAGAGGTATACTGTTACTTTAACTACTATTACATTATAATAGCTCAGAGAGGTAGTATTGTATACATCTTACAGATAATAAAATTAAGGTTAGGTAATTTGTTAAAGGACACATGGCTAGTACAGAGCTTGGCTTCAATCCAGGACTTCCTGGCTCTTATTAGACAGTGGTGCCTCTTATACATAGACTGAAATCACAGCACACTTAAAAATGAATTTAATGATGTTTCTCACTTCCAAACTTTTTTATAAATGTAGATCAAACTTCAGAATTTTAAAATGTGTTATACCAGAAAAGGAATTATCTATTCTTTTTTTGCTATTGTTATTCCAAATTTAATAATGTGCTTTCTTAATATAATTATTTTTCAACTTATTAAATGTCATGCATGCAGTTGTTATATAATACATTTTTAAGTTTTTAACTTTTTGATTATGATCATAGGTTTTCCTCATCCTGCGCCTTCAGTATTTGTCTGATATGAGAGATATTTTTGAATATTAGAGTTCATTCTTCCTGATAAGACTAAATTTTGAAAAACAGTGAATTGTATTAACATAAAAGTTACTAATGGTTATTGGTCAATTTTGTTTTCTACTGAAGTTACCTGCAATTTTCAGGGTTATTTTTGAAAGGTAGATATACTACATTAAATGTGTTATTCTTCAGTTCATGTTAAAACCAATACTGAAGACTCTTGTGATATATTGTACTAACAGCTTTGGAAAATGACTTGGGGTTGCAATCTCAGTTTTCATAGGCACAGGAAGGTAGAGGTGTGTGTGTGTGTGTGTGTGTGTGTGTGTGTGTGTGTGTAAAGGAATTTTGAACTTTCATCATAAAAAATCCAAGAAGTGGAGTGGTAGAAATAACTAAGAGACAGGAAGGTAGAGGTGTGTGTGTGTGTGTGTGTGTGTGTGTGTGTGTGTAAAGGAATTTTGAACTTTCATCATAAAAAATCCAAGAAGTGGAGTGGTAGAAATAACTAAGAGACAGCAAATCTTGAATTTTATTCTTAGCTTTTCCAATAACTATTAATGTGACCAGAATGAGGAAATAGAAGAAAAAGTTTCCTTCTAACATTTTGAAATTTTTAAATTACGGTAGGGGCTAGGAAAATAGGCCAAATATAACATTATTTTTTTCTGTGTTGGCCATGGTTTCAATGTAAATCAGGTTAGTATAACACAACCTCAACCTTTATGTTGTTAAAATCAGGGAAACTAAGTTGATTTACTTTTATTTTGAAAGGATATATTAAAATGAGCTCTTTGATCCAGTTTATATCTCTGTAAAAAGAATGCAAAATGTCCCACCTTGCAACTTGAGATAATCTTAATGTTTTTCTGCTAGAATAATTTAGTGTTTAAAGTCCTTTTAGGTTTTAGTCATTAAAGCATTTTTTGGTATAAATTATATACTTAGGAAAAATAATCTCTTATGTATGCTTGAATTGAAATAAAATTTACCAATATGTCCCTCATCGTGTTATTACTCTGCTAAAATTTCTCATGTTCTTAGTGTCATCCATGGAACTGGGTTACTGGAAAAACTGGAAATTTGGGAACTTGTCTTAAAAGTGGGGATGACAAATTTTAACTACCTAACAGAGTTTTTGTGAAAATGGAGATAATCAGTGTAGCGTGATGGTTGACAAGTAATAAGAAACTCAGCTAGTATTAGCCATAAATAGGATAAAGAAATTTTAGAGAGGATTTAGACTATACGTTGACTTATAAACAGGAGACAAAATAGGATGAGGTATTTAGATTCTTCTGTTTGTTGTGGAGAGATCAGATTGAAACTTGGCAGAAATGCATTTCCTTTACCCTGCCCCACAAAGTGGAACATTTATTTTGCTCAAATTTTATCTCTCATATGTTTTACAGCAGCTTCCCAAAACCTATACAAATAGGACACACACCACCACCACCACCACCACCACCACCACCACCACCACCACCGTCATATTGATGGATCTTGGATAAATTAATCATAAAATATAGTTACTTTCTAAGTATACTGCTCAGAGAAACAAAATATGGTTTAGTTTCAACTATTTTAATTCAAAAATAAATGACAACAGTAGGTTTTTGTCTTTCAGCTAACTCTATTTCTGGATTTAAGAATTAATTTCAAGCATATGTTGAAAAGTATTTTCTGACTTTTTAGACTTGATTTGCAAATATATTTGAGGTAGAATAATTTAGTCCAGTCCTTGTCATTTATACCAAAAAGGGGGTCACCTGATACGAAAGCAAAACTTAAAAGGTTTTTTCCTGAATAATTTTAACATTTTAAAGAATTTTTCTTCTAAATACCATGAGTAGAATTTATTGGAAGCCAAAACTGGTAGATAATTGTTATAATTCAGATAATAGAACTTACTCTTAAGTAATATTTTTATTTCAGTTATTTTTTCCTTCATGTTGACTCAAAAGATGATGAATTCACTATTCAGTCTAAACAAGATTTAGGGGAAAATATTAGGCAAAGAAAGAACCTAACAGTGAATTATTAGGATACTGTTAACCATATTGCTCAGGGCAGGGAATTGAAGATAATAATTTTAGTTAGGAGGAGACTACAAGGGTGAGAAGTTTAAATTGGCAAGGCTGCAGCATTGAGTCAAGTAAAAGTAGATCTGTGACAGAAGAGGAAGAAAACACATCATTCTTGTATTAAGATGGAGCATAAGGACAGTCTAGATTCTACTAGAAATTATTTGGATATATATTACAAAGTTTACCTTAAAGGAGAATGTGAAGTAATTGGAACTTAAACTTGATGATTATACTTATCAGGATAGAAACATTTCCTTATGAAATAACTAGAAATTTTGTCTGAATTTTGTTTTAGAAGGAATGTGTGAACTTTCTAATTACCTTTTCTTCAATTTATTCAGATCAACTGTTTCATGTATTAGCCTTGCACATGCGACTTTACAGCATTGACTCTGAGTATAATCCCTGGAGAAAACTCACCCACTTAGAAGAGATGAGTTCTCAGTAAGTATAATTGAAAATTTAAAATCAATTAAAACTCTTTTTGAAAAACAGTTGTTAAGTATAAAAATACGATTGGACTTTTGATATGAATGTGCTTTTTTTCATATTTTCTTCATGAAACAAAAAAATGTATTTTAAAAGTTGAAAACAGCTTACCATTATATTCTAAAAATTTCATACAAATATTTCCACGTGAGAAAATCTTTTAAAGAATCCCACGGATTTTTAGTCAAACAAAACATTCAAGTAGAGGCACAAAATGGCTGGTTGTCCCTCTTTTTATGTTAGAATAGATTAGTGGGTTCAGGTAGCCTGAGTCTGGTTCCTCCATGTGAGGTTTCCCATCAGTCTTTCATGTAATGATTTTAGCAACCCCTGATGATTCTTGCCTAAATCCATTATATCATTAGGTGCTGCAAAATAGCAATTAAAAAAAAATCCTTCCTTCTGATATGTAGGTGGAATTTTTCTATTAAAAAAACTTTCCCATGTCAACTATTTGTTGACCCTGAAATATAGGTTGGCAAGATTCTTTTCCAATTTATAAATTTTCAAAGTAATGAGCTCATGCTCTAGCTACTTCCAGTGACCAAATAAGTGATTATTTATTTTATGATCTCATGTATTTTATATATTTGATGCATGTCACTCCAATTCACTCATTCTTTTCAGTGCAAATTGCTCTCTTTTAGGTTAGTGAGAATCTCTCCATGTTGACTGTTATACTTCTGACATGAGCCAAGTACTCTTTGATAATATTGTTGCTTTCTGGTACAGCAAATTGACCAGGTCCCTTTTGTCTATGTCCATGTATGTTCTTTACTTGCAGTCAGCTATTTCTTCAAGTAGTTAATTTTAAGCAAATGGTATTTAGAGACCAGGGTGTGGGTACTAGAACATGTACATACTGGGTTATCGTTGCTTGTAGGCCATTTCAGTGGATAGAGTTAGGAAATTTTTTTCTTAAAGAAGAAAAAGATCCTGCATTGTTACTGGTATTTCTAATTCAAATGTAAGCGTGCAAGGTTTTGATTTTTTTTTTTCCTTCACTTTTTTGTTATTTGTGTCTTTTTTTCTCTTATTCTAAAAATCTTGGTTCCCAATGATATTGAACATAATTACTTATTTGCATAAGTTCAATTATGTTTTTAACATACTGATATTCCTACTAACCATATGTTTTCTTTGTCCTTAAAATATATACTACTAGGATATACAGTCAAAATACTGTTTTTAAACAGTATCTTAAAATACTTAAGGTAGCTTTTTTCTTGTGTGGTTATGCCATCAAACTGGATTTATAGTTAGACCCATTTGTTTTCATTATTTTTCCCTCAATATTTAATTTCCCTCAGTATTTTTTCCTCTGTATATATGGAGAAAAGGCAGTCTATAACTGTATATATAATCTTAAATTTTCTTTTAAAAATTATAGATTAAAGGGGTACATAATGCAGGTTTGTTTCATAAGTATATTACATGATGGTGGGATTTCTGTTGACCCCTGCTCCTCCACCATGGTTAGCGTGGTACCCGATGGGTGACTTTTCAACCCTTATTCCCCTCCTTCCCTACCCCCTTTTAGTAGTTCCCAGTGTCTGTTGTTCCCATTCTGTGTCCATGTATGCTCAGTGTTTAGCTCCCATTTATCAGTGAGTCCCATGCAACATTTAATTTTCTGTTTCTGTGATAATTCACTTAGAATGATGACCTTCAGCTGCATCCATGTTATTGCAAAAGACAAGATTTCATTCTTTTTTTATGACTATATAGTATTATATATGTACCTCATTAAAAAAAAAATCCTGTCCACTGTTTGTGGACATCTAGGTTGGCTCTGTGATTTACTATTGTGAATAGTGCTATGATAAACATACAAGTGCAGGTGTCTTTTTGATAGAACAGTTTATGCTCCTTTGGGTATATATCTAGTAGTGGGATTGTTGAGTCAAATGGGAATTCTGTTTTAAGTTCTTAGAAATCTCCAGGGTGCTTTCCACAGAGGTCAAACTAGCTTACATTCTCACCAAAAGTGTATGAGTGTTACCTCTTCTTCGTAACTTCACCAACATTTGTTGTTTTTTGGCTTTTTAATAATCTGATTGGTGTGAGATGGTATCTCATTGTGGTTTTGATTTGCATTTCTCTGATGATTAGTGATGTTGAGCACTTTTTCATTGCTTGTTGGCTGCTTGTATGTCTTCCTTTGAGATGTATCTGTTCAATGACCTTTGCCCATTTTTTACTGGGGTTGTTTTTTCTGTCAATTCATTTGAGTTCCTCATAGATTTTGGATGTTAGGCCTTTGTCAGATGCACAGTTTTCAAATATTTTCTTTCATTCTGTCGGCTGTCTCTTTACTCTATTGATTATTTATATTTTTATTATATAAAATTTATATTTTTTCAAAGTAAAAACTATATAACAAAGTAAATTCATAGAAATCAGTCTTCCATTTGTCCATTTGCACTTCTTTTTTTTTTTTTTATAAAGTCTTTACTCTGTTGCCTATTTCTAAAAATTGGTCTGTTGGCCTTTTAATTCTTTTTTTGTTTGTTTGTTTAAGATGACGTCTCACTATTTTGCCCAGGCTGACCTCAAACTCCTGGGCTCAAGTCATCCTGCCACTGCAGTTTCTCCAGTAGCTAGGATTACAAGTGCTTACTACTACACCCAGCTTTCTCTTCATTTTTTAATACATGTTTATGTATTATGGGTATATAGTCCTTTGTGTTATATATTGCAAATCTATTTCAATAGATTATCAAATGTCTTTTTACTTTGTTTAGGATTTTTTTCTTTTAGTCAGGCAAAGTTTTAAAAAAATGTAGTCATATTTATTAGTTCTGGATTTTGAGTTGTAATTAAACAGGTCTTCCCCTACTCCCTAGTTGTAAAGCATTCAGTTATGTCTTCTAGTATTTATGTGATTTCAATTTTTACATTTAGGTTTCTAATCTATTTAGAGTTTATTATGGTGTGTGGTATAAGGAATGAGCCCACTTTTATTACTTTTTTCCAAGTAACCATCAGATGTCCTACTGCTTTGCTTTCCCACAATAGTAAATTAAAATGAACCTTTAAAAAAAAAGAGAGAAAGAAATGGTGAAGTTCTTTGTTTACTGATATGGAAAGATCAATATCAAGATGCAATGTTAAGAGAAAAATTCCTATTCTAATCCACCCATTTCTCTTACCCATAGAGTTAATGGTGGCATTAATTTTTATAATCTGAGTTTAAAAGATTATCTAAAAACTTTAAGAGATATGAACAATTAGTTTTTTATAACTTTGGTTTTCTAGAGCAGTTTTAGGGTCACAGCAAAATGCAGAGGTACAGAGATTTCCCATATATCCCCTGCTCCCACAAATACACAAACTCCCCCATTATCAACATTTACCACCAGAGTGGTACATTTGTTATAACTGATGAACCTACATTGACACATCATAATCATCCGAAGTCTGTAGTTCACATTAGGGCTTACACTTTGTGTTTAATAGTCTGTAGGTTTAGATACATGTACAGTGACATGTGTGCACCATATATATAGAGTAGTTTCACTGCCCTAGGAAATCTCTGTGCACTTCTTTTTCATCCTTTCCCCCTATAGCCCCTAGAAACCACTGATCTTTTTACTGTCTCTATAATTTTGCTTTTTCATATAGTTGGAATCATACAGTATGTAGTTTTTCAGATTGGTTTCTTTCACTTGGTAGGATGCGTTTCAGGTTCCTCCATGTTTTTCATGGCTTGCTAGCTTGTTTATTTTTAGTGCTGAATGATAGTCCATTTTCTAGATGTACCAGCTTATCAATTATTTATTTCATGAATTATGCCTTTGTGTTGTATCTAAAAAGTCTTCACCATACCCAAGGTTTTCTTTTATGTTATCTTCTGAGAGTTTTGTGCTTTACATTTAGGAATGTAATCCATTTTGAGTTAATTTTTGTGAAGGGTTAAGGTCTGTGTCTAGATTGATGTTTTCACACGTGGTTGTCAGGTTGTTTCAGCACCATTTGTTGAAAAGACTTATCTTTTTTCCATTGTATTGCCTTTGCTCTTTTGTCAAAGTCAGTTGACTGTATTTATATGGGTCTATTTCTGGGCTCTCTAATCTCTTCCACTAATCTGTTTGTCTATTCTTTCACCAATACTGTATTGTCATGATTACTATAGGTTTGTTGTAGATCTTGAAGTCAGATTGTGTCAATCTTTCAATTTTATTCTTCTCCTTAAATATTGTGTTCACTATCTTAGTCTTTTGCCTTTTCATACTAATTTTAGATCAGTTTGTTGATATGCACAAAATAACTTGCTGGAATTTTTTTTTTTTTTTTTTGATACGGGGTCGTACTCTGTCACCCAGGCTGGAGTGCAGTGGTGCAATCCCGGCTCACTGCAGCCTCAGCTTCCTGGGTTCACATGATACTCTCATATCAGCCTTCCAAGTAACTGAAAATACAAGCGTACGCTATCACATCTGGCTAATTTTGCATTTTTTTGTAGGTACAGTGACTCTGTGTTGCCCAGGTTGGTCTCAAACTCCTGGACTCTAGCAATCTTCCCACCTTCGCTTCCCTAAGTGCTGGGATTGCAGGTGTAGGCCACTGTGCCTGGCCTTGTGGTTTTCTTTTCTACACATGGGTGCATTCAATCATCCATCCATTCATTCTGATTATGAACAATCATGTGCCAGAAAAGATCCATTTCTATGTCCTTAGAATGGCTATTTCATCTTACTAACCAGCAAGGATTGGGTTGTTTTCTGATTATGTTAGGAAAAAAACTTAAAAGAAAAGTTGTATCACTTTAATATTGTTTTGGCTAATATGATAGATGAAAAGTGGGATCCTGAAATAATAGAAATTTATTTTATTCTAGTTAAGTATTTTTATATTTATTAGATATTTGTGTACATTCTTTGTGAATGGTATATTCAGGACTTCTGTCCATTTTTCTATTGTCATTTAAAAAATTATCTGAATGATTCTTTATGGTTTAAAATGTTAAATTTAATTTTGTCATAGTTGAACTTCTTTTACACAATATGTCTTTTAATTTTATAATTAACATTACTTGACATATTGAAGCTTAAAATTTTTTTATAGCCAAATCAATCAGACCATATATTTCATATTTGTTCCTATTACTGCCCATCACATTCAGGATCTGATATTTGCTCTTATAACCAGTATTACAGTGTGTCCCAGTCTTAGGATTTATAATAACTACCTATATTTTCTTTTAGAGTTTTCTTATGGGATGATTTTTAAAAATATATAATGTATTTGAAATTTATTTTCACCTGTAGTATTAAGTGAAGATCTAAAATTTATTTGCAAATAACCAGCTAATTTTTCAGCAATTTTATATCTCACTTATCAATAACTAAGTGTTTAAATATTATAGACCTGATTAGAGCTTTCATCTTTGTTCTGTTGGCCTCCAGGCCTATTTCTGTGACAGTGTTATGCTAGTTTACTTGTTGAGGCAATATATGTAATTATTTGGTTGGGTTAGGTTCTTCTCATTTCTCTTTTCCGACCCCCTCAACTCCACCTCCTAATTTTTCTTTGTTGTTCTCACTTGTTTATTCTCCAGATGATTTTTAGAACATTTTATAAGCCCTTTTCTTCATTTGTGATTTTGATTGTAATATTTTAAACTCATAAATTAATCTGAGAGAATAATTATCTTTATACTATATAGTCTCTCCATTAGGAATATTTCATATTCTTTACATTTATTTTTGATTTATTATATTGTTTGCATATTATATTTTAGTTTTGAAGTATTCATTAATTATACATTCCTAGTAGTATATAGTATAAAGGTATGGTAAATTTTTAACACAGTGTATATGAATAATCATAATAGAGGGTATAATCTTTTTTTTTTTTTTTTTTTTTTTTTTTGAGTTGGAGTCTCACTCGGTTGCCCAGACTGGAGTGCAGTGGCCGCTTACAGCCACCGCACCCTTGCTTGCTGGGCTCCGGTGATCCTTCCGCCTCAGCCTTCCGAGTAGCTGGAATTACAGGCATGCGCTACCACGCCCGGCTGATTTTTTGATTTATTGTAGAGATGAGGTCTCGCTGCCCAGGCGGGTCTTGAACCCGCAGGCTCAGGCAATCCACTCACCTCAGCCTCCCAAAGGCGTGGGATTACAGGCTGAGCCACCGAGCGCAGACGAGGATATAATCTTAAGTAGTTAGTTTGCCTTGCATATGGAGATTTAAATAATATTTAAAGATCAAACACAACAATAAGCAAATAAATAATAATAGTAAAAAGTAATCTACCTCAAATTTTGAGAAAGACTGCTTCTATTGTAAAACAAAAAAGTTAGTATACAATGTAAAATAAATAAGAATATGGAATTCTGTTAGCATTTTAAGCTTTTCAGTTGCTTATACTATCCCCATTTTAATAAACTATATGTAATTTATTCATTTGGGATTACGTTCTTGTTTATACTGAAACCTCTGTAATTTGTTAGTCTTTAGGTTATGATGCAAGAAATCCATCGCCTATTTGATTTTTGTGCAGTAAAGTGGATCTTTGCATATTTTCTTCTAATTTTAAGTGAGAATCTTTTATTTTTAATCAACTGTTAGATTTAATATATCAATTTGATAATCCAGAATCATTTATCACCTCTTCATTCATCCATCCATCCATCCATCCATTTTCCCATTAATGTTTGTTTGTTTATTGATTCATCTAGTTTTATTAACTGTTTTCATTCAGGCATTGGGATATAATGATGATCAAAATATACCTCCTGCAGAAGCTTCTTCTAGGTGCTAATAACATAGAGGATGAATTAGAGGGACATAAAATTGAAGGAGATTGAATAGTTAGAAGGCAGTGACCATAGGGATGGCAAAAAGGGAGTGGAGATAGAGCCTTTGGTTAGTGCCAATTAAAAGTGGTTGAGTGACAGAAGATGGGTTTGGAATGGCCTCAAGATTCTAGCTTATTTATTCATTGTATTTTTAGTGTGTGGATACTGTGCTTTAGGCATTGTGCTAAAAGCTGGAGAATATAAGAAATGAGCCACACCAATACTTAGAGGTATATAGAGAGAGTAGATTGGTTATTGTTGAGGTGGGAGAATGGAAAGACGATGAGTTCACTTTCAAGCATTTTGAGGTTAAGCTGTGTGTTGGACATACAAGTGGAAGTAAAGGATATTTAGATATAGAATTCAAGAGAGACATGGCTGGATATACAGATTTGGGAATCATCAGTGTATAACTGGCGACTGAAATCATGGGTCTTTTGAAAAAGAGTCCTTAGTGTGAAAAGAAAGAGAGAATTGAAGTTTTGGAGAGCAACAGTGTTTTTGATTGGTCAGAGAAGAAGAACCTATGAAGAAGACTAAAGTAAGTTAATCACGGAGATAGAAAGGAAACTGGGAGAGTGTTTTACAAAAGGCAAAGAATGTTGGCAGGAATGCTCAACTGTATCTAAAGTCAATCAAGAGTAAGATAAGGAATAAAAATGTCCACTAAATTTTGTAATTAGGAGATCATTGTTGATCATGTGAAAAATAATTTCTATGAAGGATTTGAATAATAGAAATGGTACCCCCCACTCCAATTTTTTTTTTTTTTTAAGAAACTTGGGCTTGTGAAGAAGAGAGGCTAGAGAAATTTGACAGACAAGAAATGTTAGGATTCACAGCATTAATGGAGGGTTATCCTTGGAGAGGAAGATATACACATTAAATATATAAAGGATATTTGTAGAGAATGGAGAAGTTCAAAGAGCTGTCTTATTTGGCAGTTGAAAGTTTCCCAGCAGCAAGGATTGATTTACTCACCAATGTATCTAGTGTCTGGCATATAGTAGTAAGTAATCAGTAAATATTTGTTGAATGATAGAGCCTAATAAAAGAGTTGAAGTTTTTGCTCCTTCCAAGTTTAGAGTGTAGGCAATTCTGGAAGCTCAAGATTTACTTTTGTCTTCTGACATGATAAAAGAAACCTATGTCAAAAAATTTAACCTTCTAAAGGAGTTTTAAGCTATTTTAGGCTGGGCTCGATGTCTCAGCCTATAATCCCAGCACTTTGGGAGGCTGAGGCAAGTGGGTTGTCTGAATCCACGGGTTCGAGACCAGTCCAGGCAGCTTGGTGAGACCTTGTCTCTACAATAAATCAAAAATTAACTGGGAGTGGTAGCACATGCCTGTAGTTCCAACTACTTGGAAGTCTGAGGTGGAAGGATTGCCAGAGCCTAACAGGTCGATGCTGGAATGGCCATGAGTGTGCCATGGTACTCCAGCCTGGGTGACAGAGTGAGACTCCAACTCAAAAAAACAACAAAAAAACAACTTTTCTAATAGGAAAAAAATTATACAGAATCCCTCCCTCCTTCCTTTTTTCCTTCCTCTTGTCTGGGTCTGACTCTCACCCAGAGTGGAGTACAGTGGCATGGATCATGGCTCATCACAGCCTCAACCTCCTGGTTTGAGGCAATCCTCCTGCCTCAGCCTCCTGAGTAGCCAAGACTACAGGTGTGCACCACCATACCCGGCTAACTTTTTGATTTTTTTTTTTTTTTTTGGTGTAGAGACAAGGTCTCACTATGTTGCCTAGGCTGGTCTCAAACTCCTGGGCTCAAGCAGTCCTCCCTCCTTGACCTCCCAAAGTGCTGAAATTACAGGCATGAGCCGCCACCCCTGATTTTTTTTTTTAGTGCATTTTAAGTTCTGCTTTAGTTATCTTTTTTTAAACTTTGCAAATGTTAAATATTTTTAAAATTTTATTTAGCTATAAAGTTGAAACATTTAAATAAGAAATATTAACCATGTCTTTTCAATACAACTTGATTTGGGAACTGTACTTATTCTTTTTTATAATGTGAGCACTAAAGTGCTGAACTTGTGATAGTAAGTGTCCTATGAGCCACTCTATTTGTAATGAAACTAATTCTCTTATGTTCTATTTAATGCTTCATTTAATTTCTGTAATCTAAGAGATCAGAAAGACTCATGATCAAGTTAATGTATCCCAGTTGTTTACTTTGGTAAGACTTAACACATTTTCTATATAATTTTTTTCCTATTAGAAAAGTCAGGAAAGCACATGAGTCTAAAAGATTATATTTTTAGGTAAAAAGTATGACCCCTAGTTTTTCTTTTGAGATTTCTTGATTGTTTAAGAAGTTTTATTTCTGTTCTATAGACATATTTGAGAAAATATAAAATTGAAAGAAAAGATATATAATGCTGTCTAAAATATTTATGCATTTTTCTTTTAGACTTGGAAATGAAGAACAACAGCCTGAAGTTCCAATTCTTTATCATGATGCAACATCCCTTTTGCTCATTCAGATCTTAATGATGCCACAACCCTTACGCAAAGGTATGCCTTTATAATACAGATCATTTGATTACATACTATATGAGTGTATTATGAATATTCGATATTATGACTTCTGGAGATTATAGAGACAAATTTAGCAGTCTACCTGATGAATATTTTTTGTAGTAAGTAGCATTGTTTTTTTCTATTATCAGTAAATAGTAGTCATACCTAAGAAAAGGACAATGAAATAAAGGTGTTTTAAAAAATTATTGTAGATCTATTCTTTTCAGCTTTTTAGCCATGGGGAAAATATTCTGAAAACGTTTGTTAAAAAAAATAGAAGTGATAATACAAATGAAAATTTGAAAAATAGAGCAAACTGTCAGTCCTAATGCTTTACCCTATCTATATGCATACATATTTCAATATAGTGTAATTGTAAAGTTATTAAAATATCATGTCCCACCATTTTAAATTAGTGTTAATATTATGATATAAACAGCATTTATATTAATATTATGATATTTACCATGAATATTAGTAACATTTTAATTATTGCTCCATAATCTTTATAGTTTTCACTTGAAGTCATTAAAAATATTCTGTTAGATAATTAACATTCTTCTCTATTGGAAAACTAGTTTTGTTTTTTGTTTTTTTATTATAAATTACAGTAGAATGAACATCTGTGGGTATATAAAGACTTTGTTCCCGGGGAAGGCATTCTTTATGTATACTCCAACTTGATCTTTTGATAAATCCTTTTTCGTAAAGGTATGAAGTGGTGTTTGTGGGTTTTTTTTGAGTTGAAGTCTCACTCTGTCACCCAGGCTGGAGTGCAGTGGCATGCTCACAGCCACCCAGCGTCAATCTGTTGGACTCAGGCAAGCCTTCCACCTCAGCCTTCCAAGTAGCTGGAACTACAGGTGTTCGCTACCATGCCTGGCTAATTTTTTGTTTTATTATAGAGATGAGGTCTCACCAAGTTGCCCAGGCTGTTCTTGAACCCGTGGGCTCAGGCAATCCACACACCCAGCCTCCCAAAGTGCTGGGATTACGGGTTTGAGCTACTGTGCCTGGCCATCATTTTTTAAACATGTGGGTACATTGTGATAGTTTATGTAAATTTGATATTCTGCAAAAAGTAATCATAATAAACAAGCATAATATATACTAGCACTGTGAATTTTGAATTAATTTTTAAATAAAATTTACATGACATAAAATGTACTGTTTAAACAGTTTTAAAGTATATGCAACTGCAGTAACCTTTATTACTGTCACATTGTTATGTGACCATCACCATTATCTACTTCAGAACATTTTCATCAGTCCCAGTGGAAACTCTGTGCCCACTAAGCAACACACTCCATTTTCTTCTTCTCCTGACTCCTGGAAACTACTGATCTGATTTCTGTTTTTATGAATTTACCTATACTGGATATTTCATATTAATGAAATGATACATCATGCAGCATCTTGTGTCTGGTTTCTTTCACATAGTATAATGTTTTCAAGCTTTAGCCATGTCGTAGCATGTTTCATTTCTCTTGATGGCTGAACAATATTCCATTGTATGTATATGCCACATTTTGTTTTTCCATTCATCACTTGATAGACATTTGCATTATTTGCATCTTTTGGCTGTTGTGAGTAGTGCTGCTGTGAACATTCATGTGTAAGTTTTTATTTGAACACGTTTTCAGTTCTTTTAGGTGTGTAGCTAGAAGTGGAACTGCTTGGTTATATGGTAATTCTGTTTAACTTCTTGAGGTAATTCTGTTTTTAACTGCAAAACATCAGATATGTTTGAATGCTACTTTCTTGGGGATTTGGCTATGAATTTAATCATTTATGTTTGCAGACTTGAAAATCTAAACCTGTCCAATAGCCTCACTGAAATTATTCTTTTTGCAAAATTAGTTTTGAATTTTTTCATGTTTTTTTTTGTTTGTTTTGGTGTCACTTTGGTTAGTTTTCTGTAGTTTAGGGAAGCAATTGCCATGGGATAGTGCTGGTTACCCTAGATTGTGCTCTTCTAATTATACTAGTAGTATTCATCTTGAAATTTTAAAAATTACTTTGTTTTATAATGTTTTAAAAATATTTAAATATTTTGTTTAGTTATCCTTTTTACATATAAGCTTAGTTATTACATAAATGCGAAAAGATTAAAAAGAGAAGGAAACTTGACATATAGAAGGAATTTTATTCCCATATCAATATTTTAGAAAAAGTAAAGGACATGTTATATCATTTTCTAACTGACAGCTGTAGCTGGTGTGTCATCCTTCTTGTCAGAAAGTAACCGTTGGCACTAGTTTTTAACAGGAGGTGAAGTTAATGCTGAGAGGGGATATAATATGCTGAATTAATTGAACCTAGTGAGTTTAGTTCAGTAGAAGCAGATTTTAAAAATTGTGTTCTAAAATTAGTCAAGAAAATTGATCTGCTTAATTTAATAATAGTTAAATGAATAGAATAAACTCAGGAAAATATATATGTAAAAATTTATCATATTGTTAATAACTGTGCCTTAAGATAATATCATTTAAAAGTATTTTTTGACGGACAAATTTAGTGAGCAAATGTTTATTTAGTACTTACTTGTGAAATTCATTGCCTGATTCAGTGCAAGAAATATTTAATGAGTACCTACTATATGCTAGCTTGCTATGCTTCTTTGCCGGTTGTCAGAGATATAAAGATGAGTGAAACGTGAACTTTGCCCCTGAGGAGCCAGATAACTATTTAGCAATCATTAAATTAACCCATAGTTAGAATTGTTTTTAAAGCCTGTGCTTTATATTATTTCTCAAATTTCGCAATAACTTGAGACCAGCTGATCTTAAGATTGGATTATTAGCAGCTATCAAACACATTGTCTAATATTTTGCTTGCTGTCATTATAGTAATGAATTCCTCTTGGGATTTAAGGTCAAGCCAAAAAAATTCCACTCTTTATTAAGTTTTTTAGTCTTTCTCACATTGAGAACTGGATAGAGACCTTTAATTGCTAGGAAGTTCAGAGCTTAATTATATTGTTACTATAATTTTCCTCAGTCAACTTTTATTGGGAGTTGGGGAGTTGCAGTCTAGAGGAGACAGAGTAGTTAACTTAAATTTTTCTTTTCCACCCCCTACTGATGTAAGAGGTAATAGTTGGTGGTCTTTATCATGTCTGTGTTTTTATTATAAGCAGTTACACAAGAATAAGTGTTTGTGTAACTGTTTAGTTATTGGTTGTTATTTAAAAAGAAGAGGAGGAGGAGAAATTTACTAATATATATACTAGAATGTTAAATATTTCTCATGGTTTTATCTGAAAAATAGATTGATACAGAATTCTACCTGGACATATCTTAAGTTTTTTAATGTTTAGCATTATTTCCAGATTAAAAGACTTTTTCTACCAATTGTCTCATCAGAAGCTAAAATTAAATATATTAAAGACAAGTTTTTGTTTTTCTTTGATCTCTTATGTGCTTGCATCTTACCCTTGAGTTTGGACGTATCTTCTGATACACCACTGTCTTCAAGTCTTCATGTTTAGTTCTTCATGTCCAAAAGGAAAGGAAAGTGTATTACTTAGGACCAGGTTTGACTGTATATTACAAAGAGGAAACCAAAACTAACATGGTACCTTAAGTAAGATAGAAGTCTTTCTTTCTTTTATGCAAAAAAAAGTATGAAAGTGTGAAAGTTAGGCAAACCAAGCTTCTACTTCACGGTACCAGATTCTTTTTCTTTTCTTTTCTTTCTTTTCTTTTCTTCTCTTTCTTTTCTCTCTTCCTTCCTTCCTTCCTTCCTTCCTTCCTTCCTTCC